TATAGCCAGAACGCTGTACGTGTCTTCACTTTCAGGTTAGTTCTTCTGCCGATTTCTCGCAACCAACAACGTGATTTTTTATTTGAGATTTCGAGAAACATAACATGAATCGTTATGGCATTCATAACACAACACTTCGCCATGTTTCAAGTTTTAAGTTGTCAGTTAACAAGGTCTTTCATAGTAGCATAGTAGCATTTCAATTATCAGTGTTTGACTGGCCCTCTAGAGGCGAAATGACGCCAGGCAAAGCAGGAGTTTGTCGTCTGCTTCACAGTCTGTTTTATACCCGATATTTAAGGCATTTCGCAGCACATACAAGTTGTTTTCATCGACAGAATTCATTCATAGATCTCAAATTTCATGTACAGAGTGTCAAAACCCACAGCTCTGCTCCCCTTTAAGACTCAGGGAAAATAAAAAAATAAGTAAAACAAATAAAGTATAAAGTTTACCATTTTCCATGAGGTCGCAGAATTCCTTGTAACGAACTCTACCGTCTGGAATTTTATAGAAATCCACCACTTTCTGTATGTCGCTACGAGACAACTGAGCCTCCTTGCCAACAGCTAATGACAGACCACATATAAACTGATTTTCTGTGATGATGTAACTGCGCAACTTGTCGTGGTCACGGAAAAACTCGGTTGTTCGAATTCCATTCTTGTAAACTGCGACTCGAATTTTATCAAAGACGTCTTCAAGTGAGCGGGGCTCTGCAGTCTTCAAAAAAAATTTGTGAACAAAACAATTTTGTCAGAAATAAATAAATTTAATAATGTGATTCCCAAAAAAAACTTATTTCACGATGAGACCATGGAATCTGTGCATTCAGATATGTTAGGGTCCTCCCTGATTTGGCTGTACATACCTTGCCTGGAATATTATATCCTGTCGATGGTGGACTAGTCTGGTACTCAAAGTCTTCTACCATTTGGGATTTCAAGGCTTCAACATCATTATGAAAATTAAGATAATTACACAAACTAGCTTTACTTGGATCAAGATACTTAGAAGCCAGTATTCTCATTTCTTGTTCTGTCACATCTGGTGGACCTGGGAAACTACGATAGAACTAGAGAGGAAAAAGAGAAAGTTGAGAATTCCATGATAAAAATATTTTACATTATTAGTCCAGCAAAACTAAAATATTGAGCAATTTTCGTTTTACATATCACATCAAAGATTTAGAACTTTGTTAAACACTTTTATCTTGCAAAAAGGAGTTGAATGGGACTATTTTATGGAAGGAGACAAAAGTAATGTGAGTGAACGGTTATTTAAATTAAAAAATTTGACATAGAGGCTGCAATCTTAGATTTCTAAAGCTTTATTGGGACTACGATGTGACATATTGACAGAATTTGCGAGAAATATTCAATTTCTCAATAAGTTATTTGTTTGAATTTTATTACTTCATGCTTTGAATAGTGTTTCAATGTGAGTGGATTCATGAAGTTTTAGCTCTGTTTCAAAATACTCCTGCTTACAGTAATTCAGAGCAATTACGATCCGTAATATTTCTCAACTTTTGCATGTGTTCATAACTATCCACTGTGTCAAGATTCAAATCAAGCTTCATAAAAGATTTCAGTAAGCTATAACCCAATGAACACTATCATTTTCTTTTCCTGTACTTTCTTTTGGATTAAAATATTTGGAAAAAATATGCAGTTAATTACGCTGGTTTATTCTGTGAAAAACACTGAAAGATGGAGATGACGTTCAAAGGGTTAGCATCCATTGTCATCTCACAATAATATGATAGTGTTGTGCATGTGCAAAGAACTATGTACATTTTTCACAAAAATCATGAGCTGTTTTAGTTCCATATACGTATCTTTAAACTTGACAAATGTCAACAAATTTCATCGCCTTCAATGAATAGAACTCACTGTCATCCGTTCTTACCTGACTTTCGGTGACTAGACCATTATGGTGTCTGTCGAAATCTTCATAGCAAGTTCGAATATTGATACCGTGGTATTTATAGAAGGGTATCATTCGGTGTAATATCGCGTCACACTGTGATTGGGTAGTTGGACTTAAGAGACGCACTGATCTCTGGGTACCCAAGCTATACAGAAAATAAAATACAAAATAATTAAGCGACTTTCAACGAATTTAAACATGGACACGTTGACACTGTCACACATATACCTTATTAATTTATAAATTTAACACTGAAAATTTAATTTTAGTAGAGACGATTTTCCATGACTTTTTGGAAAACAAATTGAATATATATACTCACTATGGAGCTGGTTCCACAGTCTTGGCCATGGGATTAGTTTTCAGATCATTCGGTTGAAATGCTGTAAAATAGAACAAGACATTTGTGAGGTTTTTGGGACTACTTTATTGCATGCATCAGAATACATACTTTTGTAATGTTATATGTCACCTGATCAACCCAAGTGTATTGCTATGTAAAAAGTAGTGCTGTTGGTGTAACTGAAAATGACAGAATAAAGAAGGAGTTAAACATGGAAGCTCCATGGTTTCTTTGATGTTTCATGTGTTCATGAGTCAACAAATCACAACGTTGAACAGGTGAGGTCTTGTTATAAACACACCCTAATCAAATGATAATGATAAAGTGTTTTTTAGGGCCTTAAAAAACGCCAAGCCTTGAAACACCTTCTCATCAGTACATCATGTCACAAACTCACACAAAACTACACAACCTCAACATCTCAAGAAAAAATAAGTGCGTGAAATTAACTTACAGGCTTCAATAACTTCTGAGAAGTAACGATAGTTGACTGTCCCATCGTTTTTATCAGCATACTTATCCAACAAACATTGTTCATCTTCTGGTCCGAGCTGAATTCCAAAACTTTGGTCAAGAACTCGCTTGAACTGAGATACTGATAAAAAGAATTGAAAACAAATCAGTTTGATGTTTGCAAAATTTGTAAATAAATAATTAATTGAAAGACAACAATTATGAACATGTATTGAAATCCATCAGACAAATAGCAACAATAGATGTTCTAATTTCATTTTCACGTGTTATATTTTAAAGCGTGGTGGTTGTCACATTGCATCAATATTGTAAACAATGAATTTTAGATGTGTGCCATACAATGAATGAGCCCCATATCAAACACAACCTGTTGATACTACCATACAATTTGTATGATATAGAGGTCATCTTTGAATCCCACAGTGTTCAAATTATGTGTTTTAATTCTGGTATTTAACATATAACATGGCAAGAAATGGTACAACCCTCAAACCATAAATTATGAATATGGATTAAATTAAACACCAGATTCTTAATATTTATAGATATCGAGGGTTGTACTAATTCCCAGATACCATTGTACTAAAATGCATGAACAACTTACTGGTCATGTAACCAGATCGAAGACGATCATAGTCTTTGAAGAACTCAGTTACACGCACACGTTTTGATAGAAGCTGTGTCCGTATCTGGTCCTCTAAATGAGTAACCGATCTTGCAGGCATGATTGAAGAAAGATGTGCTTACTGGCACTCTTCTCTGCTGACTGATGCTTATCAATTATCTGTTGGAATGAATTACAGGTTACAGAATTAATGATCTTAATTTTAATCCACAGGAAAAAACAGATAATCTGATTGGTCAGACCAAAATGTGATATATGATAAAGTTGGCTGAGATTAGAAAAGTCAAGTCAGTATACATAATCAAATATCTTCATACATCTAAATGTGCGTTGATACAAGTAAATGTTGGCTGCAGGCTTATAGCGGATTCATCACAGTTAATATTTGCATAGCTGTGGTGAGAATATTGTACTCATTTCTGTGATTTTCAATGTTTCGATGCTAATACCGAAATCACTTTAGCAATTGTCATGGCTGCATGCAGTGTGAAATGATGGGTCCATTTTTGTTATGTGCTGCAAATATTGGATTTATTTTGGTGATTTTCAGTACAGTGGTGCAAATAGTGGATTCATTTTGGAGATTTTCATTGCTGAGGTGTGAATGGTGGATTTCTTTCTGTTATTAGTACTGTGACAATAATTAATATTATTTAAAAAATTTAATTTTACAACATGATAATATTGACAGGAGAGCAACTTCAAATATGGGATGACACAGGTCATGTCAAAAACAAAGACGTGACCAGTAATTACATGATTGTTGCAACAACAAGTATTAAAATAAAATGTGTAGATTCGAAAGCGACAGGTCGTATCCTTCGTATTTGTATAAAAAAGACGTGATCGCTGGGCAACATCAGATTTGTAAACATGGCAGCCATGATTGACAAAAACATCCACAACCGCAGCCCAATCGGCCTCTGATGCCTGAATGAAAATTAGAAACAGAAAAGTCCATTCTGCCGAGTTTTGACGCAAGAGAGTGCTGGTTTAGCTGGTTGTGTGAAATCGTATGTTATACGTATGGATCGTGGTCTTAATTTTAACCGAAATTACCTGTTATCGCCGGGAATCGCTCTCACTGTAGACTTCGGAGCCTCTTTGCTTGAACCTCGATTAAGGCAAATCAACTGTTTTAGCTTGTTGCATAGCAACTGGAACAGCAGCTCCAACTGCGCATGTCCACTGTCTGCTCACGCCAGGTCTCGCATTTCACGAGAATTCGTCTGCACGTGCAAAACGCGCCACATTCGGAAAATCAAAATAAATAGTTGTTCATTTCCATCAAAAGTTATTTTGTATAGAACCATGACGTCGTCCTGGGACGCAGAAGAGCCTAAGTAAGTATTGTTTTATCAAATATTCAATATCAACTTATTCTTACTGAAGTTTTCTTGGGATTGCTCGCTGTGATGTTGTTTTATCGAATGATGAACACGATTTCTATGAAATATACAAAGTGTACGGAAGACGTGTATTAGTTTGATATATCTGAAACGGAATATCGGTGTGTGGATGAATTACCGCTTTCGTATTATTGGATCGACACATTTGTAAAATATCGACGGTGGTAGCAGACGGGAAAGTATATGCGCGCCATCGCCTGATCGGGATGTGGTGATGCTGATAGGTCATTGTGTTGTAAAAACGTGTGGTAATATTTTTGAACTTAGTGTCTCATATTTTAGTGTTATTCGTCCATTTTGGGAATTGCTGAAAACTTGTTCCGCAAGTATATGTCACGGAATGCATCGAACCCGTGTTACTTTGTTTTTACGATAAAACGCTATTCAAGGTGTTGATGGCGCTAGTCATTCACATGTATTTACCTGATTTGTGAGACATGAACTTTTGATCACGTGAATAAGAAAACCAATCACCGCGAGTTCAGCCTACGACCGCGAAATCACCGTAAAATTGAGTCAGACATAATCATTTCCTGGTTACCGCCTAAGAATCGCCATTTTCCACCGACTTTTTCGTTAAATTTGACTGAAATAATAGGCGATTAGCTCTGATATTGCTAGTGTCGTCGTTGTTTTGGTTCGTAGAACGACCACGTGATGAGTATTGACTGTATCATTTGTATGTAAATATATGTAAATGAGCTGGCGTGGCGTGTAGGTGATTTTACGCTGAGTGACAAAAATGGCGGAGGCTGAGTTAGCAGTGAATTTCTGTGGCGCGCCAAGAAGTACTGAAACTTTCCTTATTCCAACACAAGGAACACTTCTCAACAGTCAGCACGTTCTGAAACCAGTTATTAACGGCGAACCACCACACAATGGTGATCAACAAGCTATGATATCACAACTTATCGAGGCGAAAGGGGAGGACGACTACGAGTGCGCACCAGGCGAGCGGATAAATGCGTCGAAAAACCAGGACGACGACGGGTATATATTTATATTTTATTTTTTCCCCATTCAACTCAACAATTTTCCCATTTTAGCCGCTACTTACTTGCTAAGTACAATTTTCCCCAGGAACGGAGAAAAGCAACATTTGAACGCATAGTTTTATTTTGTGCTTAATGAATGGATGAGTTGTGGAAGTGAATGGGGGTGGGTAGCAAATTACCACCCCATTTCACTATCCACACATACGCATTGCTTGTTATTGATTTCTTGCAAAGACCCTCAGTTCGAACCTTTGTTTTGTTTCTCATGGATATATAACCTGTTCCCACGAAGAATATGTCCACAATAAAATGGCCTCATAAAACTGTATATGTTCCAACTCTACGAACTACGCACATTTCGGAATGCCTGGAGCCAGTTTGTTTTCGGTATATTCAAACGGACTTTCTATTGGCTTCCATGTGTATTTTAAAACCCCTACTGCGTTGTGCTGTTGGTCTGAATATAAAAAAAAATGCCCTTTATACACCTTTTGAAGTTACTGAAAACCGCAAAATTGTGGGCAGTGAACTATGTTAATTTATTTCACAATTTTACTCTGTTTATACCTGCTTGTTCATCCCCTATTCCCTGATTTAGGTTAAATGCAAAAATTAGCATATTTTTAAAAGACTTCCCAAAGTTTATTGTTCACTATTTCCAAAGATATCATCCGTTGAAAAGACCCTACCACAGTGAGCAAACTAATCGCCTTTTGTGTTTTAGAAAGTTCCTTTTTCTGAAATGTGCCCTTTAGTCAACATCTAACTTCGCCAGAATGCCTGCACCCACAAGTAATTCATTGTAATTTCCATCAAGGGTGCCTGACTGGGGAATAAAAAACTTTCTGGGTCTGCATTGAATTGGTGTACATCAACACTCATTGACAATATGAAACACCCTCCCCTCTACTTCCACACCCGTGTCACCTGATATATAAACATTTCTCGCCGATTAAATTGTAGTAATTTGAACAACATTTTGATAAGAGTAGGATTGGATGTTATAACCACTAGGCAGCGGAAACTATGGGATACCGCTGCAAATTGGTCATTAAATTTAGCCATGGTCTAACTAATTGCTGCACAAGTGGTGTGCCCAATATGTTGTTGAGACTCACTGGAGTGTGTCACTATAAACATTGCAAAACTGACACAAAATAATACATGTTATCATAAAAGACCCTGTGAATTATCGACCTAGTGGTGAAATAATCCATTGTAAGTTTTAACCGTCAATGATTTAGTGTTAAACGCCCTGTCCTCTATTGTGATAATTAAATTGAGTTTTTGTTTTCATTATTAGTAGTATATTGTTCTTCCAAAATTAGTCTTCTGGTCATTAGTGTACTTGTCACTTAAAATGAATTTGTGACAATGTTTTACCCGAATTACACATTCAAATTAAATTAATACTCCTAGAATATTGATGTAATTTATTGAATATATTGTATTATTATAAATTGTGAAATCCAATATTTAAATGTTTTTTTTAATCTGGAAAAATACAGTACTGTTTTGTCTAAAAAAAAATTATTTTGAGCATTTAGGTCTGGTAATGATAATATAGTTATATAAAATATTTATCGATCACGTCTGGAAAAACATAACTGTCATATTCCCCATTCCAGCACATCAAGCTAGTTGGTGCCCTTCAGATGAAAGGCATGTTAGCGTTGTGTAAAGATATTCCATTGACGTTAGCCAAGTCCCTATTAGAGGTTTCTCAGTCAGATGGCTGGCAAGAGCAATTAATCACGTTGCGTAAGGAATACTAAAGCAACTGACAAAGTTCAATTACCATTACTAATTTTACTGGCACTAGTTCACATTATCAATTTATGTGTTTTTAATATCAGTAATTGGTTGGCCTTAATTGAGAATTTGGCTCACCTTCAGGTTTACTCGCACAGCATTGATGAATTATTTCAAAGCAAAATGTTAGGATTTATTTAACAGTTTAGGGAAAATAAAACACGTTCTCATGATGATATATGTAATCAATGTCATTTTGCATTGCTTCTTTTCACAGTTGGGTGGGCTTTAACTGTATTGCTGTTACAGCTTGAATGGCAGAATAGTGTAAATTTATAGTTGTAGTCACTAATACTATCACTAATGTATTCTCAAGAGCTTTTCCATTTCATACAGGTATTTATTAAAAAGATTACGAGACATTCATTATGATTACAATGTTTGCTACAATGGCCGAGGTAACCTTAGTTAAAAAACAACCACCCTGTTTTGATGTTTGTGCCAACGAAGGTTAAAATACATAGTGATCATGTTTGTATCTAATAACAAATAATCTGAGTTTAGTATGCAGTTGTCTGGTCCTTAATATGGTTGTGGCATTTATCATTCACACCTCGTTGTGGAAGCATTTATACTTCTCGGGATTGATTTGCTTTCAATTCTAATGAAACTATTGCATTCTGAATAAACATGCCTAACTGTCAACATGTTTTGAATGGAAAGTGCTGCTAAAAATTCAAGTTTTCATAAAGATTTTTAACTGTAGGTTACTCCTGTAATAGCAATTATTTTCACTTGTATTTTATTTCACTTGTTCAATATCAAACAGGTTTTAATATATCTGGTGAAATGAGTAGTTTTTTTATTAATATTTATATGTTCATGTGGATTTAATTTAGCGGTTCTTTCTTATCTGTGAAAATGATGAATTTAAAACCCAGGGAATAATTTATGCATTTACTAATGGAACTCGTGTCTGGCAATAAAAAAAATTTCTAATTTCTAATTTAAACATTTCCATTGCTGTCTGCAGATTGCTACTTGATTTTAATGTCAAATTTTGTAAAAACTATCGTTAATAAAAAATATACGTTGTAGTGCGTAATTGCATTATTATAGGATAAATAAAATGTTTTCCCATATTATCCGTATTACTGACTAAATATGATCCCATTTCAGAAAATAAATTCTATAAAATATGCTGGCATTATTTACCTTTGTGCAAGTCACCTTACCCGGGATAGATCATTTTGATATGCGGCACACTAAATTACATTAAAAAATATTCTCTGCGAACAGGATTTGTGGAATTTGATCAGTTTAATTTCATTGTATTGCTCAATGTAAAGATTCTTATGAATTTTACTTATGAATAGAGCATGAAAATGATCACTTCAGCCTGTGCCACTGAATGAAACCAACTTAGAATAATAATTGTATTTACTTCATACATTGATTAAAATTTGAAATAAAACCTTGCTGTAAAAAAAATCAACATGAAAGGATGGAGATATCAAATATTTTGTGTCATTCTGAGTTGATGAATTGCATTATATTTGTCAATTCTCGTGTGATTTAAACTGATTCGTCTAAATTCTGAAAATAGCTTCATATGGGAATTGGTTTGAGAGCAGGTTTTACGCTTTAAGTGAGACTTTCCTGGGTTGGTTATAATCTTTGCTGTCTGTGTGTGGAAATATAACAAATCCTCTTTTCCCATGCCACACGCACACAGATGTTTTTTAGTGACTAAGGTAAAATAAACCTCCGCTGTAAATTGGCCAGCAGAACTGATTTGATTGTAACTTCCCCATGTTGGATTATACATTTTTTTCAGTACTTTTTATTCATGTAGCTTATTATGTTAATCTGCTGGAAACCCTGATGCCATAGTGCATTTCATGTAGCATATTGCTGAAGCTTGCCACTGTTGTTTTATTCACATCACTGGGGGGGGGGGGGGGGGGGGCAATGCACAGGTAGTGCATTTTAATGTTTTCTCCGTTACACTGTTACTGAAAGTTGGAATTTAAATCAGAAAACAATTTCGCTAGACATGTCATTGTGGATGGCCTTGTTAAAATATTGATCTGTATTGAATTATTTGTCCGTTCCTCAATCAAATTTGTCTTGCATTCCCGGCTTTATTGAAGTATTTGTTTTTTTATAAAGCACTGGTAGCTGCGAGTTCAGTCTGTATTAATACACAGATGTTACAGTGTATTCAGAGATTTCGCTCACTGGCACATGGAAATGAAATCTTTGCAAGCTGTGTACACCACAGCTAAATACATTGCAAATATTCTTGTTTTCATATTCCCATTGCTTCCACTGGAGAATTAGTTTTTTTTTGTCTTTTACTTCGTTCTCTTCGTGATAGGGAAAAAAAACGTGCTACCTGCTAATCAGAGGTTTTTGTGATGCTCGGCAAACCTTTTTATGCTCTTTGTGCTTCCATGGCGACATTTTGAATAATACAGTCTAACATAAATATGATTTCTTAGAATCTGAATGAGACGTATTAAAATTTAAAGAATTTGTATTGAGTTCTTTTTATGACCATTCCTCTTCATTAATCAAGGCACACCATGTCGTTATGCAGTTGAATGACAAATCAATAGTTTACATTGCTAGTGTTTTAATGTTAACATTTCATTTCATTTCTTGCAATAAAATTTTACATCATTTAACTAATACATTTTACGATGCTATCTTTTCAATGCAGTTGCTATTGAAACATCAATAAACATGTTTATGCTGTAAAACACATCCCCTGTGACAAGATTTAAATAATCTGAAAGGTGCCTGTACTGCAGCGGGAAAATACAGCATATGATCAATATTATTTCACTTATTGAATTTTTTTTTGATGCAACTTCAAGCTCACAATGAGAATAAATACAGCACATTTGAAAAAAAGATAAAACAATTTCCAGTTTTTTAGCCCAAGTTTTAAAATATTTTCTTGTATATTTAATCTAATGATTTGTTGTAATCCAATTTAAAGACTGTCATGTCTGTTGTCCATACACAACTGTGCATGTTTGAGAGAGCCTACCTGTATTTCTTTTTCTACTCTACACTAAAGAGCTATTTTAACACTTCATTATGTATGTAAATAGTTCTCCACTTCTAACCTGTTGTTTTACGACCTTGTACCACCTGACCCTTTGGTGTGTTAGTTGTATTGCCTGGTATAACATTTCACTAGTATTTTGTGTACTGCGACTTAAATCATTTCAC